CCCACTTATCTGGTCTTGCGACCACTCTAGGCAGCTTACAAACACATGGGACAACAAATAAATGATATTTGTAGGATCACAGCAAAAGCTCAGAATTCACGTTTACCACAACTCCGAGATATTAACACTTGAACATATTATGGTTTGAGTCTAAAAGCAGGCTGTGATCTAGTTCTTGTGGCCTACTAAGTTGAACACAACCTTACCGCATATTTTGGTCTGCTAGGTAAGTAACTTACTCACATTCAATCCATGGTTTCAAGCAGGCTGCAGAAACTAATATATTGAACAGTGGTTGCTTTGTCATATGTAAAAGAAAGCAACAGTATTGCCTAGCGGCGTGCTGGCAGAATAGATGATTGCAGAAACATTTTATTCCTTTTTTTAAAATCCTTCCAGTAACTTGGTGAGGTAGATTAGGCTACAGTGGTGACTGGTCTGAGATTCCTGGCTGAGCTGAAATTTGAATTTAAGTCTCCTTTATACCAGCTCATCTGCCCCCTAATTCTCACTGGCTCTTTTATGACTGCTGTGATATCTTTATTTGCCCATGTTACATAAAACAGAGCTAAATAATACTATGTACTGTTTTCCATGTTAGTGATTTGAAATTACCTCAAAAGTTCATAATTCCTCAGCAAGAAAAAGGAAAAAGTCTTGTTTTGTGAGATTACTTTTTGCTAAGTAACTGGTATAGCTGTCTAGATGTTTCTGTTCACTGAAGCCTTCAAAATGTCCTATATGAGTCCAACCAATATCTATAAATTGTTGTTTTTTAAAAAAGAGCTCCTGATCCAAATCAGGAGTACCTTTGATTTTGGTGTGCTGATTTGTAAAGTTTGCACTTATTAGCTACTGTATTTTAATTCCAAGCATCATTTTCTCTTTCCCTGTTAGGAGTGGAGGTAAACAGAGGGATCATTTTGATGTTATGGTCTTCCAGAGACGAGTATAAATCCCTATTCTGAGATTGTTTACTGAAAGGAAAGTAACACAGCATGGCCAGTAATCAGATATGATGGGCATTGTAGGCTGAAATACTGACAAACACTGAATTTTTGTTTTGAACAGTAACATCTTTATTACAGAAATAGAAATTCCTCGTTGAACAAATGTCCCTAGCCTTATGTGTTACTCGTGTAAAGCAGCAATCATACCTATCGTACATGAGAATTTACAGATTGGCTTGGTTGACTTCTTGCTTTGTCTTCAAAGTTTTAGTGCAGATTAAAATTCTGTATCAGTGTCAGATTCCTGTTGCCTACTATCCTGGTACTTTACATGCCATCAAAATTGGAACAGTTCAACTTTTGAGGGCCCTGGTAGCTGCTTCGAAGGGACTTCCACAAAGTGCTGTGATGCTTCGTTGTCGTTTAGTCGTGTCCGACTCTTCGTGACCCCATGGACCAGAGCACGCCAGGCCCTCCTATCTTCCACTGCCTTCCGTAGTTGTGTCAATTTCATGTTGGTTGCTTCGCAGACACTGTCCAGCCATCTCATCCTATGTCGTCCCCTTCTCCTCTTGCCTTCACACCTTCCTAACATCAAGGTTTTTTCCAAGGACTCTTTTCTTCTCATGAGATGGCCAAAGTACTGGCGCCTCAGCTTCAGGATCTGTCCTTCCAGTGAGCACTCAGGGTTGATTTCCTTTAGAATTGATAGGTTTGTTCCCCTTGCAGTCCAGGGGACACTCAAGAGCCTCGTCCAGAACCACAATTCAAAGGCATCAATTCTTCGACGGTCAGCTTCCTTTATGGTCCAGCTCTCACTTCCATACATCACTACAGGAAAAACCATAGCTTTGACTATTCGGACTTTTGTTGGCAAGGTGATGTCTCTGCTTTTTAAGATGCTGTCAAGGTTTGCCATCGCTTTCCTCCCCAGAAGCAGGCGTCTTTTAATTTCGAGGCTGCTGTCTCCATCTGCAGTGATCATGGAGCCCAAGAAAGTAAAATCTGTCACTGCCTCCATATCTTCCCCTTCTATTTCTCAGGAGGCGATGGGCCCAGTGGCCATGATCTTAGTTT